GGGAAAGCTTTGAGCGATGAGCATGCTTTATCGCTCAAAACAGGCAAAAATTCATCCAAGTCAAACATATATCACTCAACACAGTTTTCAAAGCCAAGTCACCAACAAACACATTCTGGCCGATGAACACTCTCACATCGCTCAATCTAGCTTCAAATCTTCAATGGGCGATGAAAACCCCTTTATCGCTTATCAAGAACATTCATTAAGCAATGAAGATGAATCTGACAGTATCAACGCACAGTTCAACCCAAAAATCATCAAATCTTCAGAATTTATCAAATAACGCCCAAAATTGATGATAAAAAAATGTTTGAATCCACAAAAATGCAATTCCTTTTAAAGGAACTTGATTAAAACATTGAAATCAATGGTTAATTTGATCTTTTAAGCTCAAAAAGTCGAACAGGAAGACTGAGTTCACGAGTACTGTTCTATTGCATCAAAATAGAAAATTTCACTTGAAACTACTGTAGACAGATTGATCCTATCGATTAGGATGAATTGATTTTGCTCTGATATCAATTGTAAATCCCATTTCTAAAAGCAAAGCAAGATAAATTGATAAAACAGATTGAGAGATGAAGAAGATGATCCAAGAACTTGAAGAACCGACCGTTTCTCTTATTCATGAAACAATAAAGAATAAAGCTCTCTAATCACTTACACAACTTTCATGTGAAATACAGAAACGAGCAACTATTAATTCTAAGCCCATGTCACTTATTTATATGTGACATTTACATTGAAAGCCCATTACCCTTAAGCCCAATTACAAATATACAATATAATACAAAGTAAAAGACACAATATGTCCACACATAACACTTTCAAATACTTAGGACTATTTTAGTCCTAGCAAAGAGGAAGGCTCCTCTTGGCAATTCAAACCCACTAATTAAATGCAAGTGAGAGAGTACTATCCATGTGGAAAGCTATTAATGGAGGGCTTATCCTTTATCATTCAGATATGCAGGCTTTCAGCCGTATATGAACAGTTGCATTCACAAAGTTGGTAAGCACGTTTGGAGACAATAAAGTAACTCTGTACATGTACCTTTCTGTGTAAAGCATGGGGGTTATCCTTTTGTGCGTATTTGATAAGACAAAAACTAGTCTTGTTGTACAAGACTCTTTGATCACTGATATTGAGGAATCGCTAAGGACTCTTCAGTTATCTTCGAGTCTTAGTCAAATTTTATACTTGATGTAGATAGTCTTATTATCACTGAGTCCGCTTTAGATCACGAACAGACTTGTCTCTTTCTTCGATATTGTTGAAGATTTCTTTGGTGTAAGTTTTGTATCTGGGGAATACTTAAGTTCATCGGCTTTTAAAATAAATCTTCAACGGTCACTGAACAAACTCAATAATGATCGTTGAAACTAAGCAAACACATAACTAAGTATTTTTCGCTAAGTATAAAAGGTCATTATCAAATCACTGAGAGAGCTTGGATCAACACTATATATACATACACGTATATATGACGGTTATCAGGGGCGGAACACAACCGTTGTAGTCTGCTGAGCCGAAATATAAGAGTATCTTCAATAGATTTTCCAAAATTGAGAAAATGGAGATTTTAGACATTTTTGCTCCAACAGACTCTCTAAAACGAAGAAAACATGAGAGAGTGTAAACAAAAAATGATTACAATGAAAGAGAATCATTTTTTTATCATATTCACACCGATAAAAATCTTTGATATTAATGGTTTATAGGTCACTGACATATCTTTTTTTGTCTTTATTTGACCCCAAGAATGGATTGGATCGAAACGACTTTCCTGCCAACAATTGGCTGGGGTGGGAGCTCGACCCTGGTTTTAATAGAGTTTTAATTATCCATTTTGGAAATTTTTTAAAGAATATGTCGAAGATGCTATAATATTGTAAAATTTTGTAAATCCAAATGATTCGTTTTTAGACTATTAAATTTTAGAAAAAGATTGATTAATGTAATATTAAAACTCGAAACATTCAAAGTATTAACAGGAAAATAGTAATACCAACTTAAACATTATTTACATATAATTAATATATTATATTATTTACTCTAAAAACTTAAACATTCAAAGTATTAACCGAGAAATAGTAATACTGGTGTAATTTACTTTAAAAACTTATATTCACATATAATTAATATATTATATAAAAACTAATACATATAATTAAATATTAATAATTTATATAAAATGCATGGGAAAAAAAATGCAAGGGAGGGGTTTTGAAACAAGATCTCCAAGATAGAGGTTGTAAATGATTACCAATTGAGCTACTTATTATAGATATTTTTATAAGATTAATTATAATATTTAAGTCTAAAAGCGGGGAGGCCATTGCCCCCAAAGGCCCCATGAGGTTCCACCCCTAACGGTTATCAAATGAGAACCATAAAAATTTTGAGAATCATGAGGATCAATCTCAATCGTAATTGAATTATCCATCCAATAGGTTGTGACTAATGAGTCCTTCTTATTGCAAAAAGACAATCAAGTAAGTTACGAATATCACCAACAAATTTTGTTGAATACAACAGAGAGTTTGTTATATAGATGAGATGATGGTGCATTACATGTAACATACACTCTTAATGTTTCATTGTATGAAACATGGCATTGGCTTCAGTTGGGTCTATGAATATAACATTTTGTTGTTGAACAAATTGGCAAATGACCTAAATTTCAGCTTCATGACAGATGTCTTAACTTCGATACAGGGCTTGATGTTGAGTAGCTAGACATATCATGTGAATGATCCAATTTTTGAGGACTACCAGTTATGTTGTCTTTGACAATAGTTGCTGCAATAATTACAGTTTGTTAAGAAAAGCTAGCTTGCATAATAATATATCTTCTTAGTGATCTAATTAGAATGCAAAACATAAATCTCATTCCCCCAAAAAATTGTTACAAGTTGTTTCACAATGATATCTAGTTTAAGACTGAAAACATATAATTATTAGAAGTGACATTTCATCAAACACTTTGTAGACATGATATAAACGTTGTTAACTATAAGTTATTTGTTTCATTACATTAAACGCTTCCTTCATAACAAGAAACACTACAATCATATCTCCCAAAAAGTATGTTACATGTTTCACCATGGTGTCTATCTTGGACCGAAAATAGAGACATTATTAAAAAAGAGGCATTTCATCAAACACTTTGTATGCATGATTTAAATATTATCAACTACAAGCTATTTCACACTATGAAATCAATGGATATAGGAGGTGAATGATGCAGATGAACAGATGCAGAACAATGAAGATGCAGTTGGTAGGTTTAGAAAATGAACAAAAAATTTTGATTGCTTAAATGTTGTTCATCATACTTTCAGGCGATTAATTTTGCATTTTGGAGTTCAACTGTTGATCCAAAAAATCAATTAAAAATCTTATAAAAACCCTAAATTGCATTTTTAATTTCAATGAACAGCTACATTTGATTCTTTGTCATCATTTCTTCGATCATTTGCCATTATCAATTGTTCAATTTCATTTCTGATCGAACTCAATAATGAAGGTGGAGATGAAACATAATGGAGGTGAAGAAAAATTATTTGATATGAAATATAATTTAGTTTTAATTTGAGTTCAATGAATTAATATCTAGAATATCCTTTCAATCTCCTTGCAATTTGACCAAAAAAAAAAAACCCCTTATATTTTTGCTTTTATTACAAATATGTTTTTTCTTTAGTGACCCTTTGTTTATATTAATCTACGGATTATATTAGTCCTCAAGGTACTGAAACCTTTTTTTTTCCCTCAAATTATTTAACCTCTATATATTATATAAAATCAAAATGATTTATGAGTTAACAAAATTTAAGTTAGTGAAAGGGACCAAATCCATAAGGGTTTGCAAACCATAAGGACCATGTCTATAATTTCTAACATACCAGAGGGACAACAAATGTACTTCACTCATGTATTAAACTAACATTAAACTATTGCTAATTTTTGTTGTTCAACTGTAAAAACATCAAAAGAGACCATTTAATCATGTAATAGGGATCATTTATATTAGATCCAATTAAAATGACATCTAAAAACAAATCTCACAAGTATCGTAATAGACGTTACTATCATACTATTCGTGATAACCAAAAATCTTACCTAATACCTTGGTTTTAAAAAGCGCGATGCGGTCCGAGGCGGTAAGGGTCTCGGAAGCCGATGTGTGATGCGGATGCACTCGCATCACGCACGTGATGCGCCCGGTATTCAAAAAATACTTATAAATTAATTTTACATATCAATTTCTACCTTAAAAATACTTGCATATCAAAATACTTCATTTATAACATAAAATAGTTCAAAAAGTGGCATTAAAATCTTAAAAAGTTCGTGAATCAGAATAACAAAACGCACAAACTATTACCATGAAGACCAAGTGACCAACTAATACTCCTCAAAATTAGCATCATCAAACCCCAACACGGGTTCATCTCCCTCATCATTATCAAACCCTCCAATATCTGCTTCCACCTCAACTTCATCATCTTCATCCTGAAGAGCACGTCCTTTTCCTCTAACACTTCAAGTTCCTGATGGACCCGACCCACGTATATGTTCTTAATCTGATATGCAACTTGAGACTTGAGAGGGGCTTCTATTTTATTAGGTCATTATTACATTCTATTTTAATCTACAAAAAGCCGAACTAAAAACCTCTAAAGAATGAAAAAGGAGCCCAAACATGAAACATACAGGATGCGCTGATGCACGCATCGTGTGATGCATAGGTGATGCGACCGCATCAGAGAACATCATTGAATCGCTTCGCATCAGCCCCTCTGATGCGTTACCTCTAGCGCATCGGAGCGCATTATGCGCACATTTTTAAACCAAGCCTGGTACAGTACAGTAAGTGGTACAGTAAGTGAGGATCCTGACTCTTATCCAGTAAATACTTACCGGACCCTAAGTTACAAAATCTTCCAGATCAAACACCTTGGCTATACCTATGATGACTCAGGAGCAAATGAAGTTGGTAACAAACATTTATAAATGATGAAAACTGTTACAAATTACACTTGGTATAAATATGAATCACAACCTTAAAAACACACACAGCATTCGGTATCTACATAACATTTTCTTCAACAATAACACGCTACAACATAATTAAAACACCTTCTTCTTCTACTTTTGAAAAACAAACAAATATCAAATGCTTTTATATAACATGGAGATTATGAGAGAAAATTGTTTTTAAAATCTAACTTGAAATCATGCGCGTATATGACGACTTGTTAACATCCAGCAGCCTTCAAAAACTTATCGTATGGGCTTGAAGGCGGAAGCCTGAAAGACTGTTGTTGACTGCATTCTTTTGTACACGAAACGAGTTGATCATGCATCACAGGTTGCTCTCCGTTTGTTAACGCTTTTACTTCTTCCGTTGTCTACAGAACAGGTGGAGAAAAACATCGTTCAGAAAAACTACTCATGCCAGAATACAAACAATGAATCTATGGTTGACTTTCTGAACTTCAAGTGATACGAAAATAGGGTCAAAATAAGATTCTTACAGTGTTTGATGTAATTGGAGTTTGTTTTTCACGTTCACCCGATAAAATTATCGTCATGCCTTCTTGTTGCTTCTTAAAACTCTGAAGCACGGACATCTTCTGCTGTTTACCCGTCACTAGAGCCTCGCATTGATCTTTGACTTGATCATAAGTTACAGGAGTGGAAGAAACGGGCAAGCTTGCAACATGACGGGCTGTTTCCAGTACCTGTCAAAATTCGTTTCAATAATGATTGAAAGTGGCAGCAAATTAAATAGAATCAGAATAAAAGAATGCATTTGTTTACCGATTCCAACAGCTGGTTAACACTCAAAATGTCAAGCGAATTGATGGAGAGTGAATCTTTGCGACCTGAATGGCTTCCATATTGGTCTTGAAACATATCCTCGTCTGTTGAGTCAGCATGAGGCATTACCTAAGGGAAGAAGATCATTTTTTAACAAGACTGCAACCGAACATAAAACGGACTTATATAAAACAAAGTGCTCTACCTCATCAAAAGCCTGAAACTCTGTTTGGGCAACCGGAGAACATGGCAGTGGTGTCTCCATAAATAATGGACCCCCCAAAGGAAATTCATCATCGGGCGAGAACCCCTGTGAAACTTGTGCCTTCATATTCAACTGTTCTTCCTGGAAAAGAAAGATAGAATCCTTATTTACTAGGTCTAGGAATTTTCTAAAATGACAAATGAAAATTCTACACCCTAACCACAAGGGTGGTGCCTGATTGGTTAGAGCTTGGCTCCAAGGCTCAAAGGTGCCTGGAGGTCACAGGTTCAAATTCAAGAAGGAACAAAAATCCCCTTGTGGCCATGGAGGTTCAAATTCAAGAAGAAAACTAATAACCCACATGAATTTACAAGGAACAGTAGACAAGGCAGTTAATTATCAATACCTCTGATAAATTTTCAAGCTTGGATATTAAGTGGGTCAAAAGTGTTTCTTTCAACTGTTGATCCTTTAATTCCATTGCAGAGAGTGCATCCACTGCAGCAGCTTCATCTTTTTGTGATCCATAGCAGTTATTTTCACCAGGTTTTGTTACCTGCAGCCTCATATCTTCATCCAATGCAAGATAAGGATCCATCTGCGTTTACACCAACTTCAGCAAATACAGAGGTAGACTGATAGGTAATAATTTAAGGGAAAATGCGCGAAATAGCAATCTACTTTTACAAATTTCCTTATTATAGCATTGTACTTTCAATTTTTCTTCTTACAACAATGTACTTTCAAAATATTTTTTTTAAAGCATCGTACTTTCAAAAATTTACCAGTTGTAGCATTGGGTAACCTTTTAAATTACATTTACCCATTATATCAGGTTTGTTTGCCACCTCATCGTCCACGTAGGCTGTCCACATGTATGATAGTGCTGACATGAAATTTCTTATTATAGCATTGTACTTTCAAAATTACTTTATTATAACATCACCAATTTCTATTATAGCATTGTACTTTTAGTTTTGATATTTTTATCATTTAAACATTGTAGATTTAATCAAATATGTTTACTAAAAATTATAATATCAGAAATTAAACATGTTTTTTACAAGATATCATTGTTTCACGAATAAAAATATTTATAAAAATTATAATATCAAAAATTTAAACATGTGTACAATTCAGACATCACCCTTTTATGCCAGGTTTCTTTGTCATATTAGGAACAAGTCACTTTGGTGGCGTCTATATATGAAATATCAAAGTTGCCGCCTTTGAATGCCACCTTATCCATATGATAATTCCATCGCATATCATATTATGTCTCTTTCCTTTACTAAGTTATTTGTTTGGCAAAATAAGTTAGCTTACAAGTTTATAATTTACAATGTTTAAATGATAAAAATATTAAAATTAAAAGTATAATGTTGTAATAGAAATTGGTGATGTTACAATAAAGCAATTTTGAAAGTACAATGTTATAATAAGAAATGTCATGTCAGCACTATTGTACATGTATATAGCCTACATGGACGATGAGGTGGCAAAGAAACCTGTTATAATGGGTAAATTTAATTTAAAATGTTACCCAATGCTTTTTGAAAGTATGATGCTCTAATAAAAAATATTTTGAAAGTACATTGCTGTAATAAGAAAAACTGAAAGCACAATGCTATAATAAGAAAATTTGTACAAGTAAGTTGCTATTTCACGCATTGTGCCCATAATTTAAATGATAATACTTAACATATGAGAACCTTAGTGCAATACCATTTCTATTTCTATGAAGTAAAAACTAACCGTTTCTTCTGTCAATGTTGATCTAACAATAGGAATCAGCTCCAAAAGATGGCATGCCTTTGCAGAAACAATAACCATGTATGATGCCAAAGTGAAGAGAGACCTTCTCTGGGATGGATGAAGACCACCTTCAAGATATGAATAATCAATATTAGAAAGTCACAACAGACGATAAATAAGCATGAACCAACTAGACCAAGAGTTTGTGTAAATTACAAATAAGCCGACTATCCAAAAGTAAATAAACTAATAAGCCAAATTTCTATCAGGAACTCAAACTGTGTATTTAGATGTATTACTAGAATTTAGTTCTTCGTATGCTTAATTGTTCAAGCCTGGAAAAAGAAAAACAAAAAGAAATAAAACTAATACTAGAAAGCTTCTCTTTGCTTAGACTACTACTAATTTAGACTAAAAGTACAGCATAAGCTCTGCAGAAGCCTTGCAAATCCTTCCTGATCCAATATGAAGAAGATTCATCATTTATTTGAGATTTGTTGGTGTTTAAATTCATAAGAAACAAGTGAGTGGGTGCATGTGCACTTAGCGTAAAAGTTCACCGAGTGATAACACTAAATCCCAGAAAGGCAGTAATCGTATTACAATCCCTAATTGCAGCAACTGAAAACATGCAAACGTGGACACTTGACCTAAATCTTACCACATTGAAAACCTAGAAAGTTAAAAAGGGGTGTGATTGAATGTAAATCTTACCTTGTTGATCCAAGCAGATGTTTCCAAGGGAAAATGCCAACTGGAAGCACCGGATTAAGGCCACATGATTTGAGTTCTGAAAGAACATGCATGCAAGTTCAGCAAATACAAGGAACATGACAAATATATATATATATATATATATATATATATAGTGTATCACCTTTCCCTCAAAGTGGATATTGCTAGGATATATACTAGGGTCTTCAATCTAATTTTTTTTATGTGACAAGTAGATTAGGTATAATATTTGGAACATTCACATGCTCACTTCTTTACTATTTTTAGAAATGAATCTTAGCACCTCATTCACCAATCAAGGACAAATATTTTCTCCTCTTATAAGGCACCAACTTTAAAGACCCCCATTAAAGTTAATCCCATATACGTACAGCACAAGTTCAACTAACCAGAAGACTACCCAAATCAACTAGGCTTTTATCTCCCTTTGATAGGGGGTAAGCTAAGAAGCGATCTCTTAACAAATTACTCGTAATATGAACAAAAGGAATATCACCCGAAAAGAGAAAACCATAAGAAGACACAGCCATTGCCACGTAATTCGGATCGATAAAATAGAATAAGGAATCAATAGGCCAAGTAGAATGCAGCACCTTCGATAAAGTAAACAATAAAGCAAGGCTATATGTCTGTGCCATTGCCTCAAAATTTGCAGGGGCATTTCCTGCCAATGTCGCCTGAATCCAGATTGATGAAAGCACAAGGCTCACTTGATGGCGGCTGAGTCGCAAGGAACTAGAAATCTATAGAATTTTTTTTAGAATTAAACAAAGCAAATTATATGATTAAGAAATAGAAAAGATAATATGGAAGTTGCATCATACTGGTTTTCCATCTGGCAAAGAATGGTTGATGCCACCACGAGATAAAGATTCTGTAGCATATTTTCCATGGTGTTCGAAAACATGAATTCTTTTCTCCACTGTCCCTTCATCTATGGTTTCTGATTTTTCTTTCTGCCATGACAAAAACGGAGCTTTGTGGCCTGATGAAGGCTGACTTAAGGATGGCATAAGCACAGTGGAGAAAACACGATGTGCTATAACTCGTGTTTCATGATCTGGGTGTGACATTGCTAAGAGCAAGTGATGAAAGAGAGCATCAGGGAATGCCTGAACAGTTTATAACAAATCCAGCTATTAGAAAATAAAGTGGATGCAACATACTGCTCCAAAAATAACTTGGAACTCACCTTTTTGTAGTAGGTTATGTTTGGAATGGAACTTATAACTTGTGCAGTCCGATAAAGAGCAGACATAGTTGGTCTAGATATAGTAGCACTCACTGAAATATTCTCTAGCACCACAGCCATCATATCAAGAATTGGTCCCACATCAGCAACCTAGAAAAATTGAATGAAAATTTAATTTAGTTATGTCAAATATTTCAATGGAAGAAACTATTTATGTGGTAGAATTATATCCTCAAGGCATGCTAGCTTGATGAGACAGTCCATATAATTTATCTTCAAATATAAGAATTTGCATATATTTAAAGCCAACTAAAAAGAGCTGAAGGAGATTAAGAACCTTATGTGAAAGATTTGAGATACAGTTTTCCAAAGCACACTGAAGATCCATATAACAGTTATCAGAGCCCTCCCTAGGACTTGATGGTTCACTTAAATTCTGTAAGCATTTGCGTAAATGTTTGATGAGATCATTTATTGTACCAACAATGGTGTTTGAGGCCTGCTGCTTTACATACTGAGACAATTGTGTAGCAACGTTCACAATGTGCATCTGCATAACTGGCTGTTTGACAACATCCCTGTGATCCAGGTGCTTGATCAAGATAGACAAGAGTAGATGAGCTTTGTCATCTGAGTTATAAAAGTGGGAAAAGGTTACAACTATATAGCAGATACTTGCTTAAAATTAATCATTATCTACTTAATTTATAAAAAATAAAAATGAATTGATGCTGTAACCTGATTCCTCCAACACCAACTGCAGATACTTTAATATAGCAAAAGCCAACCCTTGATCAGGAAACCAATGCTTTTCAGTGTCAAAACTGTGGAAAAGAGGTTCCAATACACGTCGAACAGTTGTTCCCTCCTTTGCCAAGTGAGCCATATTATGCAAGCAAACGCTGGACCAATAAGAGGGGCTTTTGTGTGCATCCCTGTGTAAATGAAAAGAATTGATTTTTTTACATATGAGCCCATAATTTAAGATCTATCTATATGCATAAGTGTACTTACCCCATTGGGACATCTGTTTTAAAGTTAACAACATTTGTTATCATTTTGTTGACATCCAAGAACGATGATCCATGCTCATCTCCTTTAACGATCCCCTGTGTGTTTTCCTGTGCTTGAGAAACTTGTCTGCCGTACTTGCCATTTTCTTGGTTATTTGATTTCTCCATATTCTCCAAGGTCACTGATACAATCTATTTAAAACACCATTTCATTTCAAAATCAACCAACATTCATAATATATAAATGGTTTTTTTATAAACCACTAATTTTAGTTATTCAAACCACTACCGAGTGAAGTTAAGACAAGTACAGAACAGCAGAAAAATAAATGCAACATACATTGTCAAAGTCCATAGAAATATGAGACTGCTCCCCCATAAATCGCACCTAGTCCACAAAAAGGATAAAGAAAAACAATATGAGCTTATGCAGCAGGTTATGATATCACCCAAATATATTATGTTGTACCATGCATTCACAATACATTTAGTGAAGCTCCAAAGATACAGTAACTAAGAACAAAATAATAAAGAGCCTCTTAATTTGCTATATTCTCGAGCATTACAAAATAAAATTCAAACAGTATGAAATTTGTAATTAGTAACTTTATGCACAGCCAATAAGATAAAGATAAGCATCTGTTTACCATGGAAGCCAAAACTTGAAGTCCTGCCGATCTCAACCGTAATGCTCTTTCATCATCTCCAACTTCTTGAGCCAATTCACAAAGTTTGGGAATGAGGCCTTCTAAGTTGAACATGTATGTACTGTCCACCTGCATTTTTTAGAGGTCAATTATTTCCATCTTCATTATTACTCAGGGTTAGGGAGGTAGGGATGGAGGAGGGTTTGCAGTGCCATAGACTATGAGCCCAATGATCAAATAATCTCTTACTAGAAACCACTACAAGAATATCCATTATCTGATGCAGATGAGATCCAAGAATTATTTCAACTACTACCAGCCATTAGAAGCAACATGTACCTGATTGTTTATGAAGTTTACAAGAGTCTGGCAACCAAGAATTTGCATTTCATCATGCTGGGTTTGTTCTAGAAGTGTCCGGGCAGTTCCCAACAAACTACTGGCAAAGAGTGGCCTGAAAATGTTGAAAGCAAATTACATGTGAATATGTTATTTTGCAAATTCAAACAGAAAACAAACAACACTTCACTTGCTTTTTTAGATACCATCGTCTGACATGAAGTAAGGAAATCAAATATCTCTTCATTTTCTTAGCTTAGAAGTGCATGGAATGAAGCAACTTTATGTCGTGGAACCTCAGGTGGTTTGCCTCTATATGTTGTTGGTTTAGTTTCACTTTTTTTATTTACCTTGGCTTCATTTTTAGCATACCCTGTTGTTGATTTAACATCACCCTATAATTAAAACAACTAACAAATAGAAAATTTGAAACCCAAATGAGAGAATAAAGCATGTGTATATGTTCAATTTAGGCTAAAACTGTGCAGCTTAACTGAGAATAATCAGACACGACTACCAAATGCTTAATGTTTATATCCGGGATTAATGCATTTCAACTTACATCTGCTCCTTACATGAGGATGGCAATTTCCCATAAACGAGCACCACGGCTTTTACAGAGACAAAGTGCTTATGGCGCAACTCCTTGTAAAACTTCTGTTCTAGGTAATCAGTGATCTGTAAAAAATAATTTATCAAGCAACACAAGATATAAGTAAATTAATTTAAAATTTTATGTCATCATACCATACTAATAAGATGTTCTAAAGATAAATTTCAAAGGGGTTTAGGGACTGCATAGTTTTAGCAGTTCCTACCAGGAAGTGAAGCTGTAATTTAGAAATACAAGTATAAATAAGGCCAGAGGGGTAAACCGAACCATCAGTGAGCCCCAAACAGCACAGCGAATCCAAAGCACACAATTAAAATAAAGAAAGATTAGAGAGAAATCACTTTGAATATTAAATGTTCTTTTAAAAAAAAAGACAATATTCAGGTTCTTAACCAAGTTCTTCAGGATCAAAATCCACAAAGAAGTTTCTAGCATATCACACATTAACAAAGACTGTAAGCTGTGCCAAGCCAATTAAAGAGCCCCGTTCCTTGGTTAAAAGATGTAAAATTTTAAGTTAATAGATGCACTGATTAACATAGATATTATTTACGTGATTATAAATAAGGTAGTTTAAAAAGTAGCTTAATACACAATGTGATAAGTGATAACATTTATATCCTACTTTGATTGAACAAATGTAGTCAAAATATCATGCACAGTGCTTCAAGATAATGGCATATTAACACATTAGTTGAGATGAGTGATATAAACTTCACCTTGGGCATTCGTAATGGATTTTTACAAGCATATTCACAAAGCTTCCCAACCTTCCGATCATTTGGCTCAGCATTCTGGCATTCGAAGTTATTTATGATTAGTATACTTCAAAAGAGTAGTTACTATTCACCAAATACAAAAACCATACTCATGATTCTCAATTATACTAGTAATAGCAAAATTAGTGTAACTAGATACTAGAACCATAAAACCTCAAGAGCTTTGAAATTTTGAAGAAAATGTTTCATTATTTCTCTGCAAGTCAACATGCTCCCTTTGATCCAACATAAGCATCCAGTTTTTTCTTTTCAAAGCAAATCATGTTCCCAATGAAATTCAACTCAATTCAAGTAAGTGTTTGTTTGTTAGCAGCTTAACGGGACTCACAGCTTATTCGGTCAGTTATAAGTGACTGTTTGTTAATCCAAAATAGACATCTTTATCCATAAAGGACATAATGGAAAACCTATCAAACAGCCTCTAAGTGTGACCATACAATCAAAAGTGTTCACCTGAGACCGAGGAAATATATCTGCAAGAAGCTTCTTATAGCGTTTCACTGGCTGTCTCGACCTTGCTCGCATTGAAGGGCAGAATATACAGAGGTTGCTACAGACGGGCAACACCCGTCTTGACATAACCCCCATTTTTTTCTAAAGATTTTTGGAGTTCTCCTCTGCAAAAATTAATAAATAAAAAACTCCTCAAGCCCAGATGAACTCAGTAGCCAAAATGAACTGAATCACACAAGTATACATATAAACTGTGATCTTAAAGTGATGTCAACAGCTAAATTCAACAAAAAGATAATCCAATTCAAGAAGGGGAAACAAATTGAACTCAAAATTATGATCAATTAAAGGTTACCCACGAATGCAAATGGATAACAAGATTATTCAACAAACTTGATCGCTCAATCGGGAACCTTGTGATCTCGATCTGGACGAACATGGAAAGCAGAAAAATGATAGATAAATGACAAATCTTCAAGGGTATGATTGAAATTGAAAAAAAAATTACATTACAGCTATGAATCTGTAAACAACTTTATTACCAAGAACAGCAAGAATCGAAAGGATTATCATGAATTACCTCATATCACATTCTAAAGACGTAGGGAGGCAGAGTCTTGTAATCTCCTCCTCCCCTGCACTTTTAACTTCCAGTTCTTTTTAATTGTTTTGGCGAATTAATGGAATGCCCTACGTGGGACGCAATTTTGAAATGGTTAATTGAATGTCACAATTATCTTGTTCAATTGCAAGCTGGATTTCTTGAAATATTATTCGTCCCCTTTTGAAATTAAAGTTTTATTGAATCAATACCCAAACTATCTTTTTCGTTTTATAGATGGGACTTTCATACACTTTCTCCAAAATCTATATCTATCTTTATGTTTATATTTATATTGTATTATAAATCATTTGATAAAAACTTTTAAAAATTATTTTTTATATATTAAGTATTATTTATTGATGCATATTACTTTAAATTCAAAATTACAAGTAAATTATAAGTATGTATAACTTATTATTTATACTATATTATAAAGTATTTGATAAAAACTCTTAAAAAATATTCTTTATGTGTTAAATAATGTTTATTGATGCATATTACTTAAAATTCAAGATTACAAGTAAATTGTAATTATGTACAACTTATTAAAGATCTATGTTTAAATTTGTGTAACAAACTGTAGATAAACATAATTAAATATTGGATATTTATCTCATTTTAAATAGAAAAAATCTAAAATGTATTTATGATAATCATTAAATTCTAACAAAATATTAATTATTATCTTTGTACAAAAAATTATATTATTAAACCAAAAAATAAATGACTTCATTACTAAATCTAAATTAAATTATAATAAAAAAATGAATTAAAAAAATTACACAAAAAAACAAGAACTTTTAAATATTTAACTTGATATTAAATCGATACATTTTTTTCAAAATTTTATGATACTTTTGAATTTATATTTTATTCAAAAAATAAAAATATTATTGGTTTTTTCAGTACCACATAAAATCGTATCGACGGAGACATAATAGAAGCAAAACATTAAAATCGAGATGTATCTCACTGTATTGTGTGAATATTCTTCTGGTTATATATAAATCATTTGGGTTAAACTCTTAAAAACTACTTTTAATACATCAAATATTGTTTAATTATGTATATTATTTAAACTTTAATATTAAAATTTACAAGTAAGTGGTGCATAAATACAACGTTTTTAAAGCTATATATGTAAATTTATATAACTAATCGATAAATATAATCAAATACAAAATAAACATCTCATTTTAAATATATTTATAATAATCATCAAGTTTTAACAGATACTTGATTATTATTGTTATAGAAAAACATTATATTATTAAACTTAAAATAAATTATTTTGTTAT